TCAATTATATTTACCCAAATAACCCAAGGATCTATCTACTTCTCATCTTTTCCTGAGACTCCCCTCCTTTGAATGTCCCCTCTTCCCATCTCCTCTTCTCTTATTTAAGGTCAATATTTAAATCACAGGTTATGTTTCATCTTCTCCACAAAGACTTTCCTACCTCTTACTAGTCCCTCTGTCTTAACTTTTCTGATTACTTTTCTGCATAATAATAGTTTCTGATTTTTCTAAGTACCAAAAAACTGCAATGGGCCTCATTGAAAAGTAATCTATCGGAAAGACTGAAAGATTATTAGACTTTGCCAGAGAACCACGCAGACATCCAGGTACAGAGAACAAAGAAAGGTTGATTGCCAGGAAAGGGGCCAGCAAGACCCCTTCTCACAAGGGAGAAGTGAGAAGAAGTGCCAGCTATTTTCTGAGGTGACCTATATAACCTAGGAGATTTAGGAGGGGCTAGGAGGGGCTAGGAGGCAGAGCCCCTGGTGTGGATGTGAGGGCCAGGGGCTTCATCATGGTGGATTAGGATTTATGGCTGCTGCTCAAACAGTAGACAAGGGTCCTGCAACTGTCCAGACATGAAGGTCACTCTAAGGGGCTTTTGTTGCCTTTTATGGTGGTAGCTGCCCCAGAGAAGTGCCATCCCAAGGTAAAGGGGGTTGCAGGCTGATTATTTACTGCCTTTACTACATGGGCCTAGTGCTGCCTAGGAAGGGAGCATGCTAAGCTGTGGAGAAGGGAAGGACTGTACTAAGCAATGGCAAGGGAGTTTATTTCGCTAACAAAGACAATACAGCTATGGAATTCACTTTTTGGTGCCCCATTTACATGCTTATGACTCTGGGAGAGTTAACCTCTCTGTCTGTTTTCCTGTCTGTAAAATGGGGATAATAGTACCTACTTCATTTGATTAATATTTTTAATTGTAATTAATTTTTTATTATCTTTAAGTGGTTGTACAAAGAAGTTTCCATTCTAAAAAACAGTATGAATACACAGTATCTGATAACATTGTCACCCATCATTCCTAATTCACCCCTTCTCTCACTTTTCTTCTTTTTTAAAGTTGAGATTAGGTGACTATGTAAATTTCGCATATTTCACAGTATTGTGGAATAGTGATAGTTAAAGTCACAAACACATTTTAACCTTCACAAGGCAAATTGTCATTATCATGGTCTGTAAAGTTTGTGAATTCTATGAGCTTTTTTCTTTTTTCTTTTTGTCAGTCATGGGGCTTGAACTCTGGGCTTGGGCGCTATCCCTCAGCTCTTCACCTCAAGGCAAGCACTCTACCATTTGAGCCACAGCTCCACTTCTGGTTTTCTAGTGGTTTATTGGAGATAAGAGTCTCAATCCAGGGCTGGCTTTGAACCTCGATTCTCAGATCTTAGACTCCTGAGTAGCTAGGATTACAGGCGTGAGCCACCTGTGCCCTGGCTAATTCTATGAGCTTTGACAATACAATTATTTCTTCCACATCAGGTGATATTTACATTTCTTTCCTTTTGCTTAGTGTAAGCTGTTCCCTCTTTCCCTCTCATTCAATAAGTATTTTGAGCAACTTTTATGCATCTGGCATTGTGTTGAGTACTGAGAATTGAAAAAGAGAGTCACAGGCCTTAATCTTGTTACAATTCAATGAAGAAGGCAGATGTGAGTTAAATTACCAGTATGTATGCAGTTGATTGTACAGAAATATCATGATAATCCAATTTAGTTGGTGAGACAGTGTAGATGAAAAGCTTGTGTTTCATTTAAACTGAAGCTTGAAGGATGAGAGGGCAGGCAAACAGAGGATTTCCAGGCAGAGAGAAAGGTAAATTTGAAAAGACAAGTCTGTTGAAGGAAACAAACCCATCATGGCTGAGGTCTCATTCAATGCTATGGGGACTGACATAGCAGATGGTTCTGGTCAATTACTGGTATATAACAAAACATCCTCAAGCTGAGTTGCTTGAAACAAATTTAATCTGCCAATCTGGGTGAGGATCATTGGAGACAGATCATCTCTGCTCTGCTCCAGGCCCTGTCAGCAAAAGAGACAGAAAGAATGAGGGAGAAAAAAAACCTGTATCATCTTTTGCAGTTTAGCTTCTGAAGATTCCTAGTCTTACTTTTGCTATAGTTACTACCATACCTGTATGGATTTAAGGTAGAAACCATGGATATTAGTTGTCCATGGGAGAATTTCAGTGTCATATCATAATAAAGGCATGTTTAAAGGGAGACATTTATGTGACCATTGGTGGGTAATAAAGTACATTCAAAGATATACACTGTTAGTAGAATTTACATCCATAGTTTAAAATATTTCTTAAATTACCACTACCATCACCCAACTTCCCTCACTAGTACTTAACATTGCTGTTTTGCTGCTTTGAGTTACACAACGTTAATGAGCATTTATATTTTCATGTTAATTGAAATAACACACTTTACAGATTGGAAACCACAGGTCATGCTATTTACTAGGCACATTACATATGGAAGGATATATTGTTATTCTGTATACACTATCTTTTTGACTGGTCAACTCTTCGAGGTCCAGTAGTGTCTTTTATACCTCTTTGTAACCCTGTTGAGTAAGTACTTCAGTGCTCTGCCTAGAGCAGACACTATAAATATGCCTTTTGTTGTTGTTAAGGTATAATGATTGAGATTTCCTGATCTCATATTTTTTTCTATCTAGTATTGCTTTTAAACTCAGATTAAGCAATCTATGTCTAACGAATTTTTTCTTCCAAAGTTTTTATTAGCATAACTATACATTATAAAGAAATGTCATCGTGACATCTAAATACACAAATATTATATAGTTTGACCAAATTCACCCCATCTAAATCACACTTTATCTCTCCTTGTCATTATTCCCTTTTAACAGATTTTACTGGGGTTCATTGTGCTATTTTGATACATATGCCAAAGGAAACAAGGCAAGAAGATACCAGAATTAAAAGAAAAATGCTAAAGTAAAATATTGGTAGAAAGGACATTGGCTACAAGGCACAAATGTGTTTGCTTATATTAATAATAAAAGAACAGATGGTGTGTTTTTTTTCAATGCTATCTATAAAAGGGTGCTTTACAAAATAACTCGAAGAATATAACATTGAATTGTGAGGCCTCCTCTTGCTTTAGTTTTTTGAGCAAACGTTTTTTTATACAAGTATAATCCAACTGCATTTTGAAATAATTGAATTTACTATCATTTAAGTTACCTTACAGTTTCTCAAGAAGACATTCACTGCAGTAGGTAAATCAGAATGTCTCTACAATATACTGCCTGGCTTAGAAGGAGCCTTTTACTGATAAGGATATTGAGATCTATAAAATCAATGTGCACTAAGTACCATGGTTTTCTCTCAAAAAAGGGCATTCTGCAAAAAGCCAGAGGCATGCCAGTTCAATTCAACAAATATTTAATTGGCGTTTGTGATTTCCAAGATACCATGTTGGGTACTGAAGAAGTAGACATAACTCCTGAATGCCAGAGGGAGATAAGACCTGGATCCAGGAATTAGAGTGGAAAGCAGAATCATGGAGTGGGAAAGGCATAATGCAGGAAGAGCCTAGAGGATCTTAAAATAAATTAACTTTAACTTTCTTGCCTGCCTGGGTTTTTTTTTTTTTTCCTTTTTTCCTCCAAGGTTCTATTTTGGATCCTCTTTCATATGTGCCAGGTTCCTTGTTGGCAGAGGATCCACGACCCTGGGAGCGCTCTCCCCTTCCTTTTCTTTCTCCTTTCCTCCCCAGTTTGATGAGCTGTTCTGCATTTGGACCAGCATCTACTGTGTGGGTGGTGGAACATGGAAAGTTATTTTGGTTCTAATTATGAGCGCGGCTTTACTGGGGAGCAGAGGCAGAGGCCGAGGCCGAGGCTGGGAGGATGCTCCGCGGAGGCGTTACTAAGGTTACTAGACAGAGGACGGCAGGTGACAGGCAGGCAGGCAGGGTTGGTGTTTTTTCTTTTCCTGAGACAAAACTCGTGGCGGGCGTGGGCTGAGCCACACGGTGGTACTTGTTGGATTTCCTCGAGGGGAAAGGAGGGAGGCCCGGGGCGAGGGGGTGGGGGGCGGGGAGAACGAGAAAGATCAAAGCTGAGCGCCTCTGCTCCCTCCTCTTCCCGGGCCTTTTCCTCAGCCACTCTGGTTTCCCGGAACTGTTCTAACTGTAGCACAAAGTCGGCGTACCCGGAAGCGGTACCTTTTAGGTGTGACACGTGTCCGAGCCAGGCCGGAAACTACTCCCAGGCGAGACCCGTAGAGCGGAAGGAGGAGGAGGTGGAGGCCGCTGAGGTGACGGCGGTGGCGGCGAGGTTGTGCGGCCGAGGCGGACACGGGGTGGACCCTGCAGCGGCCCGCTTAGGCGGTGGGTGGTCGCTGCAGTGCCCAGACTCCCAGGGCGAGCTTGACGCTAGCCGAGAGGACCGGAAGGGAGGGCTGCAGAGTTTCCGGAAACGTGGCCCTCCAGCGACTTGACCTCAGCCTCGGGGGTGGGCGGGCGATGGAGCCCGGGGACCCGGGGACTCCGGCCTCGGCGCCGAGCTGCTCCCGGCCCTGCCGGAAGTGGCTCTGCCGGAGAACTTGTGAGCGCAGCCACCGGGTTGAGGGTCGAGGGTAGATGCAGCCGGGAGAGGAGAGAAGACAGCAAGGGGAAACGGGGGTCGCTGGTGGTGTTGCCGATGAGGGAACTGGAGGACGACAACCATGCTCGTAGTTAACTTTCACAGGGCTCCCTGGGAGCTTCCATCCCGTGCGATCGGCACTCGTTAGCCTCAGAAATTCAGGAACCTGCCCTGAGACAAATGCGATGTGTAGAGCCAGGCTTTGACTTCCTGCCAGGCCGACTCTAGAATTTACCACCAAGGGCCCACCATTGTTTCTCCAACCATCGAAACTGGCAGAAATTGACGAGGACCAGGAGTAAAAGGGTAGTTTGGCTTGAACAGAAGTGATGGCTGGAGTCAGGGTATGATACAAGGTATGAAATCCAGAGGTATGGAGCAGAGACCTATAAGACAGAGGTGGAACTGTGGCCTTCATCGTTATCTCCAAGCATGGTTTGAGATTAATCTGAGGAATTTGATGGGGACAGGGAAAGAGAGGTACATGCACACCTAAGCTTGAAAGTTGACTGGCTTGTGCAATTTAAAGCTTACTGATGTAGTAGTTGTGACAGTTGAAAACCCAGAGTTGAAGTGACTAGTGTAAAGACTAAAAACAGCTTCTATTGTAGGTGCAGTTCAGTGAAGTTTAGGGAGTTATTTTTTTCCTTTTCCTGCTGTGCTTGCTGTCATGAATATTAAAGTTTACAAGTTGTGGTGAGTCATTTGACATCGACTGGTTTCTTTTCAGCCATACAAAGTATTTGTGACATCAAATAGTCCATCCATTCCCCCATTAATATGTGCCCCAAATTCAACATAGTACCAAACTCAGGAGTTTCTTCCAACAGATTTGACACTGGCATTTTTAAGAATCTCAATTTAAATGTGAATTGTCACAGGATCAAATTAAGCCAAAGGGTAAGGTAGTTTATAGAAATGTTCAAAAAGAGAAATATCTACATGTGTTTAAAATATCAGGAAATTTTTCATCAGTAGTATACGTTCCACAAATACAGTAATTCTTGTGGATATATATGAGGGTAATTTGAAATAATTGAAATACTTGAAACTGTACACAAGATCCACATGTCTTAGATTTTTTTCATCCCTCAAATGAAGATTATGGACAATCACAAACACTGTCAAGTGTTTAGCACAATGTCTGTGCCAACATAAATGCAGTCAAGCATGGCATAATGAGAGGAGCATGTTGTAAGAAATGCTCCCTTAGGCAGTCTCATCATTGTGCAAACATTGTTGAGTACTTCCAGAAACCTCGATGATAATTTGGTGAATGTACCACACACAGTGTGTGAGATAGCCTAGGCTGAAAGTCTGAACTATAAACATGTATAGTGTGTTATTTAATACTGTGGGCAATTGTACTAAAATGGCATTTGTGTTCTTAGACACACCTAAACATAGTGGCAGAAGAAATATTAGGGAATAAGAATTATCAGCTACATTATTATCTTATTTGAATACTGTTATTTATTGTGGTCTGTCCTTGACTGAACCACCCTTACCAGGTGCATAATTAGCCAATAATTTGACTCTTCTGGGTCAAATAAATGTACAACATTGTATTCAGCTTCTTTCCGCTTCCATTCCTTGAAATGGAAAGACCATGTAGTAACTTTCGGTATTCTATATGTTGATGAAAGGTTAAAAAAATTACACATTTTCTGAAGGAAACCCCTGCTATCTGAAAGTATTTGGAAGTCTTAGATGGTTGAGTAGCCCACAAACAGTAATTTTATGATGGTCCTTTAAAACTGTTGTGGTTACTGAAGATCACTTATTTTTCAGTTGCTTTGTCTCACAAATGGTTGTCAATATAGGGACTAAATAGTTGCTTTTACACTCCTTTGCAGATGCATGGTCATGGAGGCTATGACTCGGATTTTAGTGATGATGAACATGGTGGAGAATCTAGCAAAAAGAAAAGAAGGTAAATAACCCATAGTTGACATAATTTCTAGATTGATATGAGACAGATAATACTGAATAGTTTTGGATTGTGTCTCCATGTGAAGAAAACTGCTTTAGTGAGTGATTTTTTTTTTTTTTTAGTTCATCAAAACTAATAACTTGATTGGAAACTGAAGACAGTTGTGGTGAAACAGGATAAAATGTGCTGTAAAGAAGTTTATTGAGCTAGAGAGAAAAAAAGGAAAGAAAGATGTGATTGTTAGTTAATGTCATAGTTCAGAAGGAGCTTGGTTGGGGCTGTCTTACTAGTATTTGACTTCAAAGTAAAGTTAGTGTGGAGGTTGCAATTGTAGCACAGGGTAGCCCTATGAAAGAAGCTCATGGAAAGTTTGATTGGAGAAGATAAGAACTGCCATCCTATAAAGCCTAGGTGTCACAAAGAGGCCATGTCTTGACCAAGTAACAGTGTATTTGGGGTACTTTTGAAGCTTTAGTGCTTAGAGACTTGGTTTTTATCCATTAATTTAGGAGTAGTTGACTAAACTAACTCTGCAATGAGAATACTATATGAGGCATACTAATTACCTGAACATTCTCATAAAAAGATAGTCCATCTTTATGGATATAATTATAATAAAATACACTTTATAATGTTTTATATTTGCTACTTTTTTAGTAAAAATACTTTATCAGAATAGAATTCAAGCAATGTAGTTAGATACTATGCTCTAGGATTATGTTTATCTAAATATCTAAGGCTGTTTATCCATGGGCTGTATCCTCTATAATGGTTCTTTCTTTTTCCATATTTTTTATGACTACAAACTATTTCTTATGACTACAAACTTAATACCCCTATTTTTCAGACAGAAAATAAGTTACTTTACCCTATTAAGATTAAGGGGAACAATGGCTTAGTCAAGCTGTGTGTTGGTGGCTCATGCCTATAGTCATAACTCTGGAGGCTGAAATCTGAGGATCAAGGTTCAAAGCTAGCCTGGGTATACCTGGAAAATCTGGGAGACCCTTATCTTCAGTTAACCATCAAAAAGCCAGAAGTGGATCTGTGGCTCAAGTGATAAAGTGCTAGCCTTAAGAAAAAGAGCTCAGGGACAGCATCCAGAACCTTGGTACAATCCCCAGGAACTTAGAATTTGAACTAAAAAGCTGGGGAGTAAAAAAAAACAAAAACCAAAACCTGGGGAGTGTAACACTGGAACCAGTATATTATTTCGTTTCATCTTCTCCATTTATATGGGCATTAAGTAGAGTTAAAAAAATATAAACTGTCTTACTAAATTCTTTTTAAAGATAAGACTTGAATACTGTAAATTCTGCTCATTTTTGCAAAAGCTAGCAAACAACTTTTGAGAAAAATTAATGTTTTTTCTTAATACATTAGGACAGTTGAAGATGATTTACTGCTGGAAAAGCCATTTCAGAAAGAAAAACATGGAAAAGTGGTCCATAAACAAGTTGCAGCAGAATTGCTGGATAGGTATGGCATTTCAATGTGAATTGCATTCTTTCATTTAAGATATTTTATGAATTCAAGGATAAAGCAATTTGATTATAGTTAGAATATAGATATTTGAGTTTGTTTAAAATATATTTTTTTTGACAGGGAAGAAGCAAGAAATAGAAGATTTCATCTCATAGCTATGGATGCTGTATCCTTTTTATATTTGTATATTTCTGTATTTAGTAGAATATTAAAATATACTTTGGTAATATATTTTAAATTTTTTATCATAATTTTAAGAAGATAAGTATGCCTTTTTATTTTTTGAGATAAATGCTTATTGAAAATAGAATTTTATCATCGATACTTTTGGATGTAATTCTCTTTTATTAAAATATAGGCAATATTTCAGACAAAATGAAACATATTCCTACTATAATCTGTAAATAGACTTACACAGTCCATGAATCTGCACATATTTTTTCAATTTTTTTTGTCAAGCTTTTGATACTTCCCTTCTCTACATTCTCTTATCTTGAGTCTCTGTTTAAATTCTCTTCCTGTCTGATTCTTGCTTATCTAAAGTTCTCTGCAAAACTTGTATTTGAAATTCCATCTGTCTGTGAGCCATCTTCAGGCCTGCTTTGATTTTAATTCTCAGTGATGACTGCAGGCCAGATATGAATGATAACTTGTTTCCCTTCCCTGTTGTGATCAAATCTCAGCTCAATTTCTCATTAAGACTGTGACTCAAGACAGTAACTGCTACACTGCTAAGATATTAGAGAGAAATAAGAATACTGTTATATTCTTAATTTGTTGCTTCCTATTACCTTCTTAGACAGTAGTTTAACTTTTCCATGGATCTCCTTAGCTTCTTGTTCCTTTAGCATTTGCTCTGTCTTTTCTGACATATAGGCAGAGTCCGAATACCTAGTTACAGCCTGGTGAGGGTGAAAGTCTAGATATTCCATTTCAGGCACGGGTTGAGAAGAGATCACAGTTTTTACTATAGTGTTTACCTAGTGTACAATAATTACTGTCTATTAAGTTACTGGTCTCACTAGGCCAACTCTTGATCACTTGGTTAGAGAAAACAGGCTTTTACTGAGGCTGTTCAAAGCTATGCTTCTGGCATTTCTACATTGTCAGCTTAATCTCCAAGTCTGTGATATATGAGATAAAAAGAAAACCTGGGGGTATACATGACCTGAAGAATTTGGTGAATGGCCTCCCCACCATTCAGTTTTCTTTGAAAATTTTCCTTCCTTCCTTTCACTTTGTTTTCACTCTTATTTTTTTTGTACCACATGGGTTTGAATTCAGAGTCTTGAACATGTTAAGTTTGTTACTCAGCTGGTGCTCTCCTACTTGAGCCATATCTTTAGTCTTGCTTTTTTGCTGGTTATTTTGTAGATGGAGTCTCATAAACTTTTCTGCTGGTCTATGGCTGGTCTGGAACCAGTTTTCCAGATCTCAGCCTCCTGAGTAGTTAGAATTAGGTGTAAGTTTCTGGCACTAGCCAGAATTTCTTATTTGTTTTATATATAATGTCCAAGACTGTTGTTTATTGCTAGTTAAGGAATAAGGAGAAATATATCTTCACCTACTCCATCTTCTTAGAAGTAAGTGTTCCATTGACCACCTGTTTTTGGACATAAAAAAATTGTGTTGGAGGGGCTGGGAAGGTGGCTCAGTGGTAGAGTGCTTGCCTTGCACGCATGAGGCCCTGGGTTCGATTCTTCAGCACCACATAAGCAAAAGGAAAAAAGCTGGAAGTGGCGCTGTGTCTCAAGTGGTAGAGCGCTAGCCTTGAGCTGAAGAGCTGAGGGACAGCACCCAGGCCCAGAGTTCAGGCCCCACAACCGGATCCCCCCCCCCCAAAAAAAAATAAAATTGTGTTGGAGCTAGGCACCTGTGGCTCACGCCTGTAATCCTAGGTACTCAGGAGACAGATCTGAGAATCATGGTTCAAAGCCAGTTCAGGCAGGAAACTCCATGAGACTCTTATTTCCAATAAACCACTAGAAAACCGGAAGTGGTACCGTGGCTTAAGCGGTAGAGTGCTTGCTTTGAGCTGAAGAATGCGGGGACAGCACCTAGGCCCAGAGTTCAAGCCTCACCACTGACCAAAAAAAAAAAAATGTGTTGGAACACATTTATATGTTGTCTATGGTTTCCTTTTTGCTACACTGGCCTAACTAAGACCATATGACCTGTGAAACCTACAATATTTGCCATCTAGCCTTTTTTTCCCTTAATTGTGGGGCTTGAATTCAGGGCTTGGGCATTGCCCCTGAGCCTCTTTGCTCTATCACTTGATCCATAGCACCACTTCCAGTTTTTTGAGTGGTTAATTGGAGATGAGAGTTTCATGAGGACTTTTCTCCCCATACTGGCTTTGAGCTGTGATCCTCAGATCTCAGTTTTCTGAGTAGCTAGGATTAAAGGTGTGAGCCACCCTCACCTTGCTTGCCGTCTAGCCTTTTACAAAACAAGTTTACTGACCACAGCTTTTATAGAAAGTGGTCATTCAAGACCTCAAACCCAGATTTCAGAATATCTGTTATTTCTCATTCCCTACTCCTTCTGAAATGTTAACTGCTTTGCTACCAGTTTTGGAAGTGTAGTGAAGTATTCTATTAGACCACATAGATACATTAATGTATCTTTCCTTTTGTCTCTCTTGTTTCTCTCTCCCTCGCTCTCCCAACCTCCCCTTCCTTGCTTGCTTGCTTGCTTGCTTGCTTGCTTGCTTCCTTCCTTCCTTCCTTCCTTCCCTCCTTCCCTCTCTCTGTCTGTCTCTCTCTCTTTTGCTTGAACTCAGGGCCTGGGCACTGTCCTGAGGATTTTTTTTTTTTTTTTGTTCAAAGTTAGAGCTCTACCACTTGAGCCACACCTCCACTTCTGGCTTTTTTGTAGTATAATATCCTGGATCCAAAGGAAACTCCAAGACACCCAGTTAAAGGAGCTAGGAACTTTATTACATCCGCATGGGGTCTGCTTCCTGCTACCGGGAAAGTAGGACAACGGCCTTGAGCTCAGGATAGGATGGGTTTTTATAGGGGTAGGTCATATAGAGTTACACAGAAGAACCATGCAAGGCAGGTTTGGCACATTTTCATTGGTTATGGTTATGTGACCTTTAAATCCATTTGTTCTTTATGGTAAATATACGTAATAATCTGCAGTAGGCTGCCCATAGTGGGACCATTTGGTGGTGGTCTTCACTTGGAGGCCAGTGGTGATGTCACCTGTGGGCTTAAGGCCTTGCTACTGAGGCAAGCAAGCAAGGTTACAGAAACAAAACTTAGCAAAAACATAACCTTGAGTCACTGGAGCATAAGTAAAACATAATCTTGACTTGCTCAGCATGACCGATACTATCAGTGGTATTGACACTATTGCTACTTGATTACAAAAATTCCTTGGATTACAGAAGTCAAAATACAGCCTTGGGTGGGGGTGGTCTATATTACAAGAATGGTTTTTATTATAAGCTCCTCACTAATGCAGCAAGTCAGTGCAGCTGGTGATAAGCCTCAAGGTTGTCAGTAGCCTTCTGCAAAATTGGCAGCTTGGTAAACTTGAGTGAGGCAGAGATGTTCTTTTGCTTTTTAGCAAGGATGCAAAAGAGGCTAAGGCTGACCAGTACTTAGCCTTTGCTTGGATTTTTCTTTACCAAGGGCTTTTGCCCTTTATCAATAATTTTGTTCTGTTTTCTGATTTCACATTTTCTCATGAATATCCTTCTTTTCCAAGGGAAAGTAGGTTCAGGGGGGAGAATAAATTTCTAACAGCAGGAGAACCTGAAGTCAGACAATAGGAAGAACTTTCTGCCAGTAAATAGCAACTCAACTATTACACTATCATTATGTATCTTTCCTTTTTTGGGGGGGCCTGTCAGGTCGTGGGGCCTGAACTCTGGGCCTGCTGACTGTCCCTCAGCTCTTCAGCTCAAGGCTAGCGCTCTACCACTTGAGCCACAGCGCCACTTCTGGCTTTTATTTTTCTGCTTATGTGGTGCTGAGGAATCGAACTCAGGGCCTCAAGCATGAAGGCAAGCACTCTACCACTAAGCCACCTTCCCAGCCCCTATCATTATGTATCTTTAATGCCACAGGATGTTGTTACAGATAGCATCACAGAAGGGGAGATCAGCTTTGCTTTATGCATGTTCAACTCCAACTCTTTCAAAACAGTAAAATGCTCATATATCTTGTTATACTGTGTTGAAAATAAACATAGTTGTGTAGAACATTGGATTTCCTAGATTGCTCTATTTTTTTGAAAGCTTAATGTTAGGATTTAATATTATAAAAGTTACATTTTCTATTAGAGGCTTTGATATTGCAGAAACAGCTGAATTACATTTTATAACAATGATGCTAAAATCTGCCTTTTAATTTTAGAAGCCATGATTTCTTTACTTTTCACACTCTGAATTGTAGACTATCTGGTGGTAAAAGAGTATGTGCGTTGTATGATTAGAATAGAAAGCTTTCGCTCTCTCCTGGTGGCGATGTGCTTTATCACAGGAATAATATTCCAAACATTATATTTCAAGTAACATATATTTGGGAAAGTATTCAGTAGGAAGTAAAAGTTCTTCTATTGTACTGTACTAGATTTTATAAAAGCATGTTTAATATATAAGTACATATAATATATTGATATATTTTAAAAAGTAAACAGACATACTATGCTTTTTATGTAACATATTATGACACAGAATAAGTCAACAAAATCCTTAATTTTTTCATTTCAGTATCAAAGGCATACAAAGTTTGTAAATGACTATATTTTATATTACGGTGGCAAAAGGGAAGACTTCAGGCGTTTGGGGTAAGTGTCACGAAGTGTCATGGAGAAGGCGACGTGGATGACTTTAAAGACATACAGCCTCCTGTCTTCTGTCACTCTTGCACAGCTTTCCATCCCAGCCTCCTTGCCATTTCTTAGGTGGACAGGCAATATATAGTTTCCAATTAAGTTGCTCTCTGTGAATCCCGTTTCCTTGGCAACAGGCCTCAGGTAGTTGTCTCACTTGCTGAGCTGGGTGTGATCCTGGCAATAACTGCATGTGTGAGGAATACTCATGAGTCTTGTTGGCAGAGATCTTTGAGACAATAAGATGTTTAGACCTCAGTGTTGAGGCTTGTGTTTTACAAGGTAAGGCAAACAAGAAATCTCACTCAAAATTTCTCATATATGAAAGTTCTTTCTCAATTCGAGGCCCTTTAATTAGAGCCAGTTGGTCTTGCATGGATTTTTTTCCCACTTTGTTTTAATTTTCTGAGTCAGTAGGGCCTTAAAAAATTTAGTTCTATCTCAATCTCCTCTATTCCAAATTCCGTTCCTCTATTAGTTTAGCCAGCATCCCTCAACAATCATTTATTCTACCTCCTGACTGGTTAACAATGTATCTTTTTTTAAAATAACATTTTATCTTGAAAGGTCTTCTTAACTCTCCTCCTTTACTCAGTCTTCCTAGAAAACTAGTAATGAGGTAACTTTCCATATTTTTTAAAAAATTAGGTATCCAGAGAGTAGTCTTACTAACTTCTCACTAAATTCTGAAAGTTACTTTTATTCATATTTTTTTATTTAGTGATTATTCAGTTTTCTCATTCTAGCTATTGTAGCACTTACTGAATATGGATGGATTCTTATGCATTTATCATGCTTATGTAGCAACACTCTTTTTAAGTATCTTCTAAAAATATTTAAATATTATATATATGTATTATATCAATATATGCTTACATATATTTGTATGTACTTTTACTTTCAAAATTCATTGTTTTGCTTCCTAAATTTAGTTTTATTTTTTAATTAAATGGAAATCATTTTATTTTCCAGGGAGAATGACAAGACAGACTTGGATGTTATTCGAGACAATCATAGGTTCCTATGGAATGAGGAGGATGAAATGGACATGACTTGGTAGTTTTTGCCATCACAACCATCATGTACCAAATTCTTAGTCCTGTCTATCCCATGTTTACTTACTTGTTATTTATCCAAAGCATTCAGCCTTCTCGTAGGACCATTCTGAATTAAGGACCATATTGTATATCTTCTTATAATATACGCTTCATATAAAGTTTTTTAAGTAATTTGGTAAAAAGTAATCCCTGAGACCGATGTTAAAAAGCTAAATATTAAACCAGGTGCTGGTAACTCATGCCTCTAATCCTAGTTACTCAAGAGATTGATCTAGGTTCGTGGTTCAAAGCCAGCCCAGGCAGGAAAGTCTGTGACACTCTTATCTCCTGCCTGAGGCCCTGGGTTCGATTCCTCAGCACCACATAAGCAAAAAGAAAAAATGCCAGAAGTGGTGCTGTGGCTCAAGTGGTAGAGCGCTAGCCTTGAGCTGAAGAGCTGAGGGACAGCGCCCAGGCCCAGAGTTCAGGCCCCACGACCAGACCCCCCCCCAAAAAAAAAAAAAAAGATCTCTAGGAAGAGCAAATGGTGCTACGGCTCAAGTAGTAGAGCTCTAGTCTTGAGAAAAAATCTCAGGGACAGTGCCCAGGCCCCGAGGACTGGAACACGCACATACAATCTAAACATTAGCTGAACTCCAAGGGATCATGCCTGTAGTCGTAGCTATTCAGGAGGCTGAGATCTGAGACTTGTGGTTCAAAGACAGCACAAACAGGAATGTTCATAAGTCCTTTATCTCCATTTAACCAGCAAAAAGCTTGAGGTGGAGCTGTGGCTCAAGTGGTAGAATGCTAGCCTTGAGCAAAAATCATCAGGAACAGTGCCTATGCCCTGAGTTCAAGCCCTAGTAGCAACACACACACACACACACACACACACACACACACACACACGATGGAAAAGTAATTCTTCCTCTCATTTCTGTCAATTTCCTATCTGTGTACATGAAATAGGCCTTTTTTAAAACATTAATATCATATGTATTACTTCTTTGACATTGCTTCCAAGTGAAAAACTATAGTTAGATTTCTAAATGTGCAATATATTTTTTTCTGGATCTAGGGAGAAGAGACTTGCAAAGAAATACTATGATAAATTATTCAAAGAATATTGCATAGCAGATCTCAGTAGATACAAAGAAAATAAGGTATGCCCTCTAAATATTAGAGAAGGTATTCTTACTAAAGAACAGTGTTAGTTTTTATTCTATTATGACCCTCCCACTATCATGTTAAAGACACTAATTCTAGTCTAAGTTGTCTTGAACCTATGAAGTATCATTTTGATCAATTGACCTCTTCAGCCAAAGGACTTACAAAGGGCCTAAGGAATTTATAAGGGACAAGGTTGCTTTTTCTTTGTGAGCTGAAGCACGACTAGTCTAAAATTAAGCACAAGTGGCATCCTCTTTCATCCTGACTATGGTCTAGAGCCACAGTGATTATAATGAATGATTTAACATTGCAGAGTGATGTATCATTTCACAGAGGATGTTTGAAATTGATAGATTTTTCATTGATTATTTATAGAAAGGCAGGTGCACATCTATGACATAAATAATGTCTATTTTAGTAAAATTAACTTTTCAGTGAGTGCTAATGACTGATTTCCATTCCCACATCTTGCTTTGGTTAATAGTGAGGTTATTTTTATTCCTAGCTCATCTTCAAATTAGTAACTGGAAAAATTAATAGAAACCAAAAATAGATGATCTCATTTGGAAATGCGAGAGGAGGGAATCTTGTATGACTGTGTATGTCACAGACAGGGTATATTTGTATATATGTTATTATTTATATGTAGACAAACTACTTAAAAAACTACCTTAAGTGTATATATCCAAATGGTTGATCTCATTACAGCTAGGATTGGTGTAGTAATTTTTTCAGTAGTGCCTTCAATATATATGTTCTTTTCTAACTCTGAATAGACAATAGTAATATTTATTTTGTACAGCCTTGTTTACAAAGCCATGTACTGGATGTTTCCTAAAGATTTCATGGTCTTTGGGAATTAGTTGTGGACTCTAGCTCATACCTCTTATCTGTGTGCCTGTTAATTACCATATATAATCTAGAAAGTGCCACAGCAGTTGAAGTTACTTGAGATTACTACATTGCAAATCAAATGTGAATTACTAAGTCTTTCTAGGGACATGTAACATTATCACATAATTCTATTACAAGTAGAATAATCGTTTATGGATTGTTTTTCAATATTGATTTAAACTGAACTAGACACTGGATTAGTACATGGTGACTGCTCTTCAGAAAAAGCTGTGGTCTAGGCTGGGCACATCATACATGTCTGAAATACCTTCACTTGGGAGGTAGAGGTATGAGGATTTACAGTTTGAGGCTATCCTGTGCTACAAAGTTTGAGGCCAGCTTGGGCTATATAAGTAGTTGAATAGATTTAAGTATTCATTGAATAGGTTCTTGAAAGATCCTTTCTTCTCCCTTCCTCTCCCCTCCTCTCCTTCCTTCCCCTCTCCCTCTTCCTGTCCTACCTTGTCCTGCCCTCCTCCTTGCCTCTCCTTCCCCTCCTCTTCTTCCCTCTCCTTTCCTTCCCTTCTTTCCCTGACCTTATAATCAAAATCCTGCCTCACCCTCACAAGTAGTGGGATTATTTTTACCCTTTGCATTTAAGATACAAAATTGCCAGATTCAAATAATAGATGATTTAAAAAACTAAATCCAAAGTTAACCAGGCATTGAGTACTCTGTAAAGTCTCTCAATATTATGACCCTGTTAGGTTAAGATTGTTATTACTGCCCCTATTTTTATACATAAAAAGGAAATAAAATAATTTTAATTCATTTTTTCCAAGGTTACAGAGCTAGATGATGAATGGTAGAATTTTATGAACTATCATTCATTAGAGTCCTGTGTAGGTCTGTATGATTCTAGTCTGAATCTTTGTCCCTTTTTTAAAAAAAATCTTAGATTTTTTTTTAGGTTCCTAGCAAAATTGAGTGGCAGTACAATGATTTTCCTTATGCTTCCCCCTCCTCGTACATGTACAGCATTCCCTACTAACATCCCCTACTGAGTAATGCATGCATCTACCATCAAAGTGTATAAAGAATACCCTTAAATCCTCTATGTTCTGCTTTATCTCACTCTCCATAACTCCTAGCCATTCCCTTGTGTATATATGCCACATTTTCTTTATTCAGTCATCTGTTGACAGGCACCTAGATTGATTTCAAATTTTGGCTATTGTGAAGAGTGCTGTTATAAATATGGGTATGCAGCTATCTCTCTTGAATGCCGACTTGCATTCCTCTAGATATATGCCCATAAGTGATATGTCAGGATCACATTTTTTTTAAATTTTTAGTTTGTTGAGGAGCCTCCATACTTATTTCCATAGTAACTGCTGTGCTAATTTACATTCCTACCAACTATGTATAAAGGTCCTCATCCCCTGCTTCCCCCCATCCTTTCCAGAATTTGTTTTCATTTGTTTTTTTGATAGACATTTTGACTGTGCTAAGATAGAATCTTAGTATCATTTTGATTTGTATTTCCTTCATGGATAAGGATGTTGAACATTTAGCTTCATGTTTAAATTTAATGCTTAAATTTACTTTTACATAATTTTATCTTATCAGTTTGGATTTAGGTGGCGAGTAGAAAAAGAAGTAATTTCAGGAAAAGGTAATTTTTTTTAAAGTTTACTTTTTAGTAGGATATAGCTGATTTTCTTATGATGTTGAAATGAAGTCATTGAGTTAGGATATTCTTAGCACATAAAAATAAACGAGGAAATGTATTTGTGTTACATTAACAGAGATCAGACTATAATGTGTTGGTAGAATATGAGACTCCATCTCCAAAATAACCAATAAAATATGCTGGGCTGGAGGTATGGCTCCAGTGATAGAATGCCAGCCTAGAAAGCAAGCCCAGTAAGTACAATGCCTTGAGGTTAAACTTTTGTACCTGTAAAGAGAGAGGGGAAGGAGGGAGGGAGGGAATGAGGGAGGGAGAGAAAGAGAGACAGAGACAGAGAGAATGTCTTAGTAATTTTTATTTTAGAATTTTGCCACTAGAACAATTAAGAATAAGTTTAAGGCCAGAACATTGGCTCATGCCTGTAATCCTAGCTACTCAAGAGGCTGAGACCTGAATGATTGTGGTTAGAAGCTAGCCTAGACAGAAAAGTATGAAATTCCATATCTAATTAACCAGCAAAATGTCAGGTTGGAGGCATGGCTCAAGTGGTAAGAGTACCAGCTCTGTGCAATAAAGCTGAATAAGAGTCTGAGGCTCTGAGTTCAAGCCCTGATACAAATACAAAGAAAAGAATTTTAAAAAAGAAAAGGTAAAAAATGTTTAAAGAGTTAACAGTAAGAAGCAAATCAATGCTTTTTCCTTTTAATCTGTTTTTGGAATTATAATTGGATTACTGTGTTTAGTCAAATCCACATTTTAAAAATAGAAATTAAATTACACTTGAACCCATTAGAATTTTCATACAGGTTAGTTCTCATTTTGTAGCATTCCTGAAATTGAGCCCAAATATTTAATCTGATATCCGATTAAACTAGAACATTTGGTTAGCAATCAATAAGTGATTTTTCTATTCATTGTTGTAATCAGTTCATACATTAATGTAATCTGTTAATATTTTAAAATTGTATACCTCTATACTGAATTAGATTTTTATACAATAATGGCATTTTTGCTATTAATATTTTTAAAAACTATATGGTAATACTTGGGAAACAATTTAAGACTGAAAATATTTTAAAACAAAATAGAAGCATGGTGAGAATGCTGTCATAATATTCATTGTACGTCCTTTAAAACTAGGAAAATTGAGGGGAGGGATTGGCTTGGGAGAGATGGGGAGAATGATGAAGAGGGTAACTGATTAAAATGCATTGCACTTATAAACTGACTTGTTGAATGCTAACTCCTTTGTACTGCTACTTAAAGATAATAAAAATATAATTAAAAGTGAAACAAAAAAGAGTTTACATTTTTAAATGGGCATATATGTTACCAGACATCTATGAATTAGATATATTTTAATCAGCTCTGAAAAAAGATACACTGTCAAAGAAAAGCAGTAAGATTTTTTTCTATAAATAATGAAGAATTAGTTCTAAAAGTGTGTTAGAGGAAAAGGAATAAATTTAAAGCTATTTTTAGCTTTTCTTGAGGTTACATTTTCATGTGTTTGTACCTAAAATAATGAGGGATCTTGAAATGTCTTTCGTTATTTTACACTTTTGTACTTTGAGATTTTTGGGAAAGTTTATATTTTTTAAAAAATGGTGAATTCATTAAACTCATATGACTGAATATAAGAAAGGAGACAGCAGCTGGGCACCAGTGGCTCACGCCTGTAATCCTAGTCACTCAGGAGACAGATATCTGAGAATCATGGTTCAAAGCCAGCCCAGGCAAGAAAGTCCGTGAGACTCTTATCTCCAATTAACCACCAGAAAACCAGAAGTGGCGCTGTGGTTCAAGTGGTAGAGTGCTTTCCTTGAGCTGAAGAGCTGAGGGACAGCTCCCAGGCTCAGAGTTCAGGCCCCAGGACCGATCAAAAAAAAGAATATTGGGTTTGATTATATGTCATACTTCATATATTTGAAATGTGGTTTTGATTCTCATTTTTACGATAGTTCTAAATAAATGCTATTATGTTTGTACTTAAAATGTTAATTTAATATTACAATTAAATATTGAAAGATTCGTTCATAGAAGAGTGTAAGTCTCTTCTTTGAGGATTTTAGAATGTATACTCACTTTCCAGACTGTAAGATTTCCTAATAGAGAGTCTTTACAACTCTAAATATGAATGGCTTATCAAGTAGTAATTTTATTATTATTTTGTTACAGTTTAGCTGTTTGGTCTGATTCTTGTACACACATTTGTTGAACATTAAACAATTACTGTGGTCAGTTATTTTCTAAGGTTGACTTTATGTAGCTAAGATTTTGCGTATTTAGAAGTAAACTAGAGTTACTAACAAGTCATTTAAATAAATTTTACTAGCTACAGTAGCTAAGTATTCTTTCCTTTTTGCAGGTCAGTTTTTTTGTGGAAATAAACATTGTGATATAAAAGAAGGCTTGAAGAGTTGGGAAGTTAATTTTGGTTATATTGAGCATGGCGAAAAGAGAAATGCACTTGTTAAATTAAGTAAGTTGACTCTAGCAGAGGTGAGATTGATGTATTTCAAGTTTAATTTACAATTTAAAATATGTACTTAAAATATAACTGAAAAAAATAACATCTGAAAGTACTCATTTTTTCCTTAGAGCTTACCAGATTCTCAAGTTTTGAGCCCCAAATTTTTATGCTCTTAGCATTATGGTGACATTTCAATAAAACGATTCTAATTTCAAATGTGTATTAGACTTACACATCTAAGAGGCAGAGAATCAGTAAATGCAATAAAAAACTTACATTATCCGATCACGTAGTCATAACATTGCAGTATGGATAGTGAGTTCATTGTTTTCGACATTTAATAATGAACAATTTGAGGGTGACATAATTGTTCTTTTCAAGTTAGTCTTCTTGCATCCACTGCTTCTCTCCCACATGTTAATGGCATGGTTCAGCTTTGTTGGTCCTAAGTAAATGTGCCTTCAGAGCTCCTACCCATATCTCATAGAAACTCTACCCATATTATTATTATTATCAAGTATTATTTGACTGTATTATTATTTCTTTGAGATAGGCTTGGTAGGAGACATTAATGCTGCTAACGCAACACAATTGACCTGTTTTTTTTATATAAAATAATGTTAAAATATTTTCAATTTTATTTCAATTTATTATAATATTTCAATTATTTTAACGATCTATTTTATATGCGTGTAAGAATTCTTTTGAGTTGGTGAAGGTCATATTGTCTTCAAATTATTCCCCTCTATAGTTTTATGAAATATAAACTAAAACGTGGGAATGGCAATAGTTATTGCTCAAGTTCAGCAATTCCTTTTTTGTTTATCCTCTGTTTTTCTGATTTTTTAGGATTATGCCAAGAGTGTTCTTTTAAGTTAAATTTTCATCACAGGTAATATCTTTCAAGTGTTATTTATAGTATATGTAGGAAAATGTCATTGTGAAACCCATTATTTTATAAAATTACTATTTGGTAATGAAAACAATGTTAATGTTAATAATCCTGGCCACAGTAATTTATCTGTACTGAGTGTCCAGCTGTAGACATGGAAGTTGATAGATTGGTTGGTGGCATAGGAAATCAGGCATTATTATGTGACCACAAAACACAAGGAATTGGAAGTCTACTGTGTTCTAGCCAAGCAGTTGAGATGGGGTGGGGAAGGGAGTAAATGAAATGCATGTAAAGTACTTGCCACAGTGTGTGGCATATTATAAACCTTGTACAGTCCTGGACATTGAGGATATTTGGACAAAATCTGTGAAACTTGCCCATGTAGGAATCAGGTTCCACATTCTGAATAACAGGTTGGCAAAAATGTATCCATCAACATAGTAATTTTTTGACAGTCCTAGGGCTTGATTTCAGGGTCTGGACACTCCCTGAGCATTTTTGCTCAGGGCTACATTCTACCACTTGAGCCACAGCTCCACTTGCAGCTTTTGGGTAGTTAATTGGAGATAAAGAGTCTCATGAACTTACCTGCCTGGGCTGCCTTCAAACCAGGGTTCCTTATATCAGCCTTTTGAGTAGTTACGATTATAGGCATGAACCACCAGTGCTTGGCAGATAGGCATATTATTTATTTGGTTTTTTGGTCGGTCATGGGGCTTGAACTCTGGGCCTGAGATCTCTGTCCCTGAGCTCTTCAGCTCAAGGCTTGTGCTCTACCACTTGAGCCACAGTGCCACTTCTGGTTTTCTGTTGGTTAATTGGAGATAAGAGTCTCACAGATTTTCCTGCCTGGGCTAGCTTTGAATAGCGATCCTCAGATCTCAGCCTCCTGAGTAGCTATGCTTACAGGCATGAGCCACTGGCACCCAGCTAGGCATATTAATTTTGAAATCAGCTTTTTCATGAATATGCTTGTCTAGTACTGTTGAAAGTAAATAATAAATGATTCGCTCTTAAAAATAACAGGACTTCAGATTTCTCAGATAGCCTAAACCTTTATTTCCCTTTGCCAACAATGACAATAAAAGGAACTAGAGATATTTACATCCTTGACTTTTGAGCTTTATTTCCAAACTGAAGTGATTCTGATGAAAGAGCACACATAGTCACTGTCAGTCTGTTAAACTTTTCAATCTTATTTCTTTCCTTTTTTCTATCTTTTTTGTTGGTCTTAGGTTCAGTATTATCACTTTTCCCTATGTAGTTTTTCTTTAGCAATTAAGCTTAATTGCTTGCCATATAGTACTGACCAGTTTATAAACCTAGCCTGGAACAGATGAACAGCAATAAGAGTATAAACGATAAATTGTCTAAAGTTGACATATGAGTTCAGAATAACCCCCTTCCATCTACCTTCTATTATAACTTCATTATATTAATTTTTTTGTCTGCTGGTTTTAGAGTTTGAACTCAGGACATTGGTGCTGTCCCTGTGTATATTTGCTCAAGGCTAGTGCTCTAGCACTAAGCCTCAGCTCCACTTCTGTCTTTTTTGGTGGTTAATTGGAGATAAGAGTCTCACAGACTTTCTTACCTGAGTTAGTTTTGAAGTTTGATCCTCAGATCTTGGCCTCCTGTGTAGCTAGGATTACAGGCATGAGCCACTTGCACCTTGGCATTATTCTTTTATCCTTATGAAAAAAATTTTTTACAATAGTTTTCTTCTTGTTTGTAATTTTTCAGTGTGTTTTTAGATATATATTATGTAGAGGGAAATGAGATTTGTTTTTGTAATTTCCTTAAGTGAGTAAATAATAAAGTATGAAAGGAAATAATTTGTCAATGTTTAGGCTTCCAGAATTGTCTTAATATAGCCCCTTAAAATATTTACATGCTCATTTAAGATTCTTTGTGTAAATTACATTTTAAAATAAGTACTTTAAATGTGGGTTTTTTTTGTCCACTGGTGTTTATTTTTGTAAGACCATTTGAAAAGTTAACTTTGATTTTACATTATTAACTTAAAGGAGAAAAGAAATCAAGTCAAAAACAAGAAAGGCTAAAAAAGACTGTGAAGAATATGTACATAAAAAATCCAGATTATCTCCTACAGAAGATACCTCCAAGAAAAAGGACAAAGGTAAAGGGAAATTAACATATAGTAGCTATTTACATTTCTGAATATGAAGTGCTTTATAATGTTGAATGAAAGTGTGTTGAGAATTTAAGTGTGAATTTATAGTGATTGTAGAAGTTTTAAGAACAGGGTTGGTTTTGATTGATTTTTGGCAGTGTAATATTACATTATTAGTTTTGTTAATTACAGTATTAGTTTTGTTAATGCTATACTACAATGTTGTATAATAATGTTGTATACTACAATGTTGTATAAATTGAGTTCTGAGTCCTGGCTTTATCCAAGACTTGTAACCTTAAGTAAGATACATTAAATTATTTTTTTAATTATTGTTTTATTTTTTAATTAGGATACATATGTAGTGTGAAGGGGTTCACTGTGATGTTTCCATACATGCACACAGGGAATTTTTCATTAACCACCTCCTCTCCTCTCTCTTCCCCTCCTTTTCAAACAGCATTTGATAGTGCCATTGTGCTGTGTGGGTGTGGGTTTGGGTGTGGCATACTTTATCAATTTTTGGACACTTTACTTGACTCCACAGTTGGGCTATTGACACCAGAACTACAGAAACAGGGGTGTACAGGTCTCTTTCTTATATGTTGATTTACTCTCCTTTATGACATATGCCCAAGTGTAGTGTGGTATAATAAGATAGGTCTATTTTTAGTTTTTTCAATTATTAATAACATTCTTCCAACAGTATATGAGGTTTTTGTGCATCATCAGTATTTGTTGTTTATATCCTTGTTGATTTTATTTCCTGTTAAGTTGTTGAAACTGCTTATCAGATCTAAGAATTTTTTGTTGGCATCTTTAGAGTCTTTTAAGTATAGAATCATTCATTTGCAGACATGGATAATTTGACTTCTTCCTTTCTTCTTTGTATTCCTTTTATTTCTCTTGCTTTATTGTTTAAGCTGAATTCTAGAAGACTCAATTTCTTGAGTTTATTTTTCTTTTGTTTGTTGGGGTAATGTTAATATCTCCCTGCTAGTCAGATTATAGAGAATCAAGAATGTGAAAGCACTTTAAACACTAAGAGTTTTATAGTTTATAATGAACGGTATAAGATTTACAGTACTGTGATGTTTATTATAATGATCTGTGTAATTTTTTCCACTCATTTATAAGCTTTTGAATTGAGAGATTTTAATATATTGATGCACTTAGAACCTAGCATATGCATTGCATATATTTAATAAATATCAAATTCTAATCTGTTAGTCCACTGCCTACATTTCCTTAGTAGTACTTAAGGTTTCTAAGCCTATTTCCTCATATGTAAAATGGGTAATGATAACAGTACTATCTAGCATTATGCAGAAATTGAAAAGAGGTATTCATTAAGCAATTTGTATACTACCTAGCATATAACTAGTTTTTTCAGCCCATAAGAGTGTACTTGTCTGTTACTTCAAGTAAATCAGAATGCTAGGTTGAGTTAGAGTCAACTCAGTGTTAATATAGTTTTGGACAAGAGAGGGCTCTCTTCCTCCAACTATGAAGATCATTAGTGAAGTTGCATTCTTAACATGCATTTTTTCTTTTTGCATATATTCATTATATCAGTGGAATTAAAATATTCAGATATATATTATCACCAAGTTTTAGACATGGTAAAATTGGTAGATAGTAAAAAAAAGGTTTTTCTCTTTTTTTTTTTTAAATTTATAAAGTTAGCCTTTAATGTACAATTCCTTTTCATGTCAATTCTAATCATGTCCAAACTCTATAGAAAATACCCATAGAGTTTAAAATTTTTTATCCTGATAATGCTAAGAAAATATTTAATGTGCCATTTGAGAAATTTGTTGCACCTGTTAATACTTTTCATATTGTTGAATTTACATATTCATGTCCTAACTGTGATATACTATCTATTATTGCATTTTCTAAATTAAAAAAGACTTAATGCCTCCTTTAACCACATCACCTTAGATTAGCCCACATTTGCATAGTAATTAATAACATCATTGTGCATTAATTAACTTTCTATCTTGGTTTTATTCCTGTCTTTCTGGCCTCTCTTCCTCTTTTTACCAGCAATTCTTCCTTAGCCTTACCCTTAGGTGTGTTTCTCAGTGTTCTTACCTGGACATATCTTTAGTGTTACTGTGTAATATCTACTTCTGTAGTTTCATGTTGCCACCATAGAAAATGTAAAATAATTCAGCTGGATGCTTGATGGCTGAACAAATGAAGAGGGAGGGAGGGAAGGAGGGCAAAAGGAGGGGGCAGAGAAGGAGGGGGTGGGGAGAAAGAGAAGAGAAACAGAAAGGTCAGTATCTTGACCTTGAGGATGAGTGAATTTGCTTTGGCAGATAAGGGCAGAGCATCCTACTTAGGTAAACTGTCTTGGCAGAAAGTTCAGGTTTTTACTCCTCTCATCATTGCCCTTTTTAAAAGCAAATACAATTTTATTGTTATTATTAAGGTGTTGTACAGAAGGTTTACCATTTCATAAGTCAGATAAAGACTACAATTCTTAAGTGGCGTTGTAGCTCAAGTGGTAGAGCGCTCGCCTTGAGCTGAAGAGCTGAGGGATAGTGCCCAGGCCCAGAGTTCAAGCCCCACGACCAACAAAAAAAAAAAAAATAAACTACAATTCTTTTTGGACAGTGGCACCCCTTCCTTTGCTTTTCCCTAGTTTCCCCCTCCTGTCTCTCCCAAATTGCATTGTTCATTCTCCACCTAATATGTAGAGAATACCATGACTGCATTTGTTCATTCTTTCTCTGTGTCCCCTTCTTTACTCCCTGAAAAAAAGACAAAAACAAAAAACACACCCCCAGAAAACCCCAAGCCATTTCTACTTCCTAGAATTTGTTTCAGTAAACAGTATTTTACATGTTCAAAGGCGTTAATGCATTGGGTTCCTCCCCTAAGAATATCTTCCTTTAGTCTGACTGTTAGTGTGTGAATGCCCAGAGTCCTGTATAAGTTATCATGTCCAATTGTATATTAGATCTAACGTCCACATATTATCATTGCCCTTTTCCCCAAGGCCACCTCATCTTTCAGGTTTCAGTTTAGCTCCTTGGAAAGGCACTTCACCCACTTTTGCAAGCACCCTGCAGTTCTTTAAGAAACATTCTGTAGAAATTCCCTTTTGAAATAATTTATTTTCTATGAAGGAAGGGACATGTGGCTTGTGTAATTCATCATCTCTAGTTCCTAGCAGGGAATTCTACCAATTTCTCAGAGCTGAAAGGTGCCTCAGAAATCAATTCTGGAATCATGATAGAAAAATATTCTGTAGTTTTGCTCTTCAAAGTACAATACAGGAGTGAGGAAATGTTTTTCTAACAAAACCCATTTGAATATTTATAACATCATTCGTAGGCTATATAAAATTACTAGTACAAACAGGAGGCTCATTGTAGTGGTAGTTTTTAAGATGCACTAATATATCTTCAGTGCTTTTCTTATTTTATTTCCCTCAGCCTTGGCAGAATTGAAGTCTTCCTTTGTGATATGACTTTGGAAATATATTGTGATAAGGGAATCTTTTTGTAATTTATAAATTACTCACTACTTTCAGTTGTTGAAAATCACAAGTAAAAGAAGATATTTTTTAACAAACTATGGGTTTGATGTGTTTTTTAGCAAAAGTAAGTTGATATATATCTATATATACATACACACATTTGTTTTTAAAATTGAATGCTACCTGTTTTAGGCTATATGAGAGTGTAATATAAATTCCTGCCTAAAAGAACCTATCATTTTATTTGGAGAGATAAGCTAAGGAACCTGAAAGATTAGAAAATGTAAGAGCACAAAAGAACCAAACTTGAGAAGAACTATGGCTATAGCCACATCTGTTATACAAGTGTAAGTGGTACTTTGCAAAATATTGCTAATGTTTTTTTTTTTTTTTTCCAGGACATTCTTCCTCAAAGGAATCAGAAGATTCTGTAAATAGTAAGTGTCAAGCCTTTATTAAGTAGTAACATAGAGATTCATATCACTTCCAGTTTAGATTTTTATGAATTGTACTTGCTCTGATGTGAATTATTCTGTTTTTGTACTATATGAGAAGAATCACAGAAGACCAAAAATGTTTATTCTCCAATTTATAACAATTAAAACAATTTACAACAATTAAAATTTCAATATAGAGAGCATTACAATTGTTTTCAAATAAGTGCAATGGACACAAATTTTAAGTTCACATGATAAAATGTGATGGAAAAGTAAGTATGTAAGTATAAGTAAGTAGAAAAAAATGAGTGGGTGTTAAGCCTTAAGTTGTCTAGCTGGGCATAGTGACTCATACCTATAATTCTTGCTCTCAAAAGGAAGAGAACATTATAGCTAGTTGTTAATTATCATGGAATATTCACAAAAGCCAAGATGTTAGGCCTGCTTTCATAATTTAGAGCATCATGTATGAAAATTGTATGTGGTTGTTTGTAGGCCCCACATTGTAAAGGGGATTTTGAGGATGAAGCAGGTCAGGAACAGAGCAGCCAACGTGTCATAGGGAGAATATTAGTGGCACTGCACCTGTTTAGCCTGGAGAAAAGTGTTGAGAGGAGAGGAGGTAAGGGCACAGACATGGAATAGATGTTTGGAGGCTTTTTAATGACTTTGGTTGGCAAAACTAGAACCTATGGATAAAAACTGCCTGAAAACAGTTTTTTTCCCCTCATTCTTAGAAAAAACTTGTCACTTACAACAGTGAGTAAAGGAATGGAGGGAAAGATCTGCCTCAGGAAGTATTGTGTCCAAAGCACATTGTAGATGGAAACTTGCTGGACATGTTGCAGTGCAAGATGCATTCTTTGGGTAGACTGTTCCCCTTCCAGTCAGAGTCAATGACTTTAGTTCTGGCCCCCCACCCTTACCAATAGTGTTTGTAGAGATGAGACAGTGACTCTCTAAGACATGGTTTTGTAATGAGCACTAACTTATTGTTACTTCCTTGGCAATTATAGTAATGAATTGTAATAACTCTTAACTCTCAGAAAATTAGGATATTTTAGATATATACTGTTGTACTGGAAAAGTATCCACTTAAAAAAATAAGGAGTTGTTTTATAATGTTTACATTGATGTGATTTTTTTAAAGTAAAATCACTAAATTGTCTGATATCAGAAAATAGGTGTATAGGGAAGCTGACATGTGGACAATGTTCTTAGAAGGGAACAGGGTAGTACTGAGGCTTTTTTAAATGAGCTACCCATTGTGCATTGTAATTTGAGGCCAGTCTGGGCATAAAAGTTCAAAAGACTCCATCTTAATTAATGAGCACACTACCATGCATTGCCATGTGCGTGTTATCCCAGTTTCAGGGAAGCACAGTGCCTGGGCACAAACGTTGGCTGGCAAGGGCATAAAGTGAGACCCTATCTCCAAAAGAGCTCAAGCAGCTGGGTGCTGGTGGCTCACACCTATAAACCCAGCTGCTAGGAGACTGAGATCCAGAGAATGATAATTCAAAGCCAGCTTAGGCAGAAAAGTTTTGGGATCTGTCCAAAATAACCAGCAAAAAAGGTAGCTTGGCAGTGTGGCCCCAAGGGTAGAGCAGGTAGAACCCTGAGCAAGCAGAAAGTCCTCCATGCATGCTCTATTAGTAGTACAAGAAGGAGAAAGGAAGGGAAGAGAGAGAGGGAAGGGAAAGAGAAGGGATCAAGGCAGAGAGGCTTGGCCCAAGTGCACCTGCTGAGGTGGGAGTTCAGACCCTATTACAAAAAAAAAAAGGTCCATTATCAGTTTGTGATACTGGCAGTTCTAGTGATGGCTATATTTTAACAGAAATCTCTTTCCCAAGATTAACTTTATAATTGTTTGTATTAGACAACAACATTATTCCCACCCTTCTGTTTTTGTTAAAATTGATGCCACAACAGATTCAGTAAGGAGCAAAGTTCAGACACACACATTGATTCAAAGATCAAAGTCCAACAGGTAAAAGGCTAGTACCACTGTGGCAATCAATGCAGTTTTATTTTTGTGCTATGCTGAACATTTTGCATAGGCAAAATTGGAATAGATGTAGCAGTTTAGTATTAACTCTTAATAGAATGATTTCTTGTGATACAATTGTCTTTGATTTAGTTTCTTCTTTTTCATAGTCATACAAAAACCGCAAGATTCCTGTAGGGAGCATATTTACATAAGAATCAGTATGTCAAGAACTAAGCCACTATGTAAGACAAGATAGTTATGGAAAATATTTGTCAGAAATTTTGTGAAACTAATGTTGAGTATGTAAATGAGAAGAAATGTATGTCATTGATCAGACTTGTTTTCCAACATGATGCAGAGTTAAAATTCTGTAAACTTTTAAGGAAAATCTACTAATATGGAGCAGTTTCAAATGGCCTTTGATGCTGCTTTGAAAAGATTTTGAATAAATAATCACCTCAGTTATGTATATGTATAGAGATGTAGTCTATTTGACTACATCAAAAGCATATAGGCAGGCTGAGGATATGGTTTGTTTGTAGGACTGGGTTCAGCACTGCAGAAAACAGAGAAACCAAAACAACTTATACCCCACCAATCAGGGATTAAGGGTTAAATAAATGTAAAAGAAAATAAAGTAAAGATGAAAAATACTATGGAACTGTTTTAAAACTCTAACTCTATGTGTGTATTAAAATAGAGGAATGAAACCTGGTGAAATTGTTTTAAGAAGGGGGAGGAGGTACGAAGGAGTGATGGATAGGGTTTGATTGGCTACATTGCATATATGGGTGGACGTACCATAGTGGACCCCTTCCTGTATAAGTGCTATTAAGAAAATCTTATAAAAACAGAAACAAAAAACTTTGGTGTAGCAACATATATTGCCGGAGAAATTGTCCATGCCATATTAAATTAAATTTTAAGTTACAGAAAATATGCACTAGATAAGCTAATTATAATGTTAAAGGCATTGTATATATTATATACATACATACAAATATGCATTATATAAATATATATTAAAGAAGATGCAATGTATTGTTATAATATATAATAAGCTATATTTTATATAGTATTTGTGTTTCATGTATATATTTTTTAAATAGGGTTGCAAGGGCAAACCAGTGAATATATTGCCTGTGAGCCTATATACTTTCACTTTCAACTTTAAAAACTTTCATATTACTTGTACATTATACAATGAAACTGTATTATCTTCAAAATTAATCAAAAATAATAAACTTGGTTTTGGGTGATACTGGGGATTGAAGTCAGGGCCTTACACTTGTTAGTCAGGGACTCTACCCATTAAGTCATTCCTCCAGTTCTTTTTAAATTTTTGTATTGTTTATTCTTAAGTTAAGGTCTTACTTTATGCCCAGAATTGTCTGGGCTGTGATCTCCCTATTGTGCTTACATTGGTGGAGGTGATGGGCACACACCCAGCCATCGTGTTTCCTCTTTACAAGCAATAATAAGTGTGTACTTACTGCACTCAGTCATTGGTTGAGATGGAGTCTCACAAACTTCTTTTTCTCCCCAGCTGGCCACAAATCCTCTCAAGTATCTAGAATTACAGGTGTGAACCACCACAACTGGCTTAAAGAGAAATGGTCTTGCAGTAGTCTTAAAATAAATAAACCCTCTACAAAGATCTTTTTTTTTTAATTTTTTTTATTTTTTGGGGTCCGGTCGTGGGACCTGAACTCAGCCTAGGTGCTGTCCCTCAGCTCTTCAGCTCAACGCTAGTGCTCTACCACTTGAGCCACAGTGCCACTTCCGGCTTTTTTCTTTTTGCTTATGTGGTGCTAAGGAATCTAACCCAGGGCCTCGGGCATGCAAGGCTAGCGCTCTACCACTGAGCCACCTTCCCAGCCCCCTACAAAGATCTTAATGTGCATGTCTTCTGTAGGACCAGAAAAGGAAGAAACTAAATCAATTGCTTTTACTCTGTAACTTACAGAAATTTCTCAAGAGACATTAAGTCCTTGGCTTTTTTGCCAAGAGTGGACTTTCCCATATTATTGATTTATTTAAAGAAATGATTGTTTCTGGATCTGTGAATTAAATTAAGCATGCTAAATTAACTGGTGAGTGGTTCAAAATGTGTTTTTAAAAAGCTACTTTTTTTTTCTTTGAAATGAACAGGACATACTGATGAGGAAGAAAGTGCTTCAGAATCTGAGTTGTGGAGGGGCCCACTACCAGAGACAGATGAAAAATCACAGTAAGTGCTGACCGTAGTGCCTAGGTCAGTTATCTTTAGCTGTGCCTACAGTTATATACAACTAAAGTATGTAGATATATATAACTATAACTTTAGCTGTGACTACAGTTATCTTTAATAACAGTTAATGAGAAAATTTAATACATTCATGTCTAGTTGATGACAAAGACTATGGCACCTGGTAAGATCAGAGCTTATTACCAGATATTGTGGCCATGAACAGCCAATGTGAACAGCTTCCTCTTGGTGAATGAAGCTTTCATCAGCTCACCTGAACAGATGACCCTCTGGACCTTCCTTGAATTCCTCAGAGAGAGCTGTTTACTAGCTTTAGGTCAGTGTGTCCCATGATACTGTGGGCCCCTTGGAAGAGATTTATACAGGTGTAGAAGCGCCCCTGCCAACACCTAGTGACAGATAACTCAGTGCACTTGTTCTGTGCTTTGAATATGGGCTGGGATGTTATCAGCTCTTCCTGAATGCTAGGATGTTCACCACTTGAACTTTATCTGTTAAAAGGGGAACATAACTAGAACATAGTTTTTTTCTGGGAGGAGTAAATTAAATAATGCAAACTACATAGTTCTGACCTACAAATAAATATAATGAGTGCTCATGAAGTTTTAGTTCCATTTTAGCAGTGCCTAGCCAGATTGCTTCATAATAGAAAGAGATCTGTTGAATCAATTATAACTCATTAATATAAACTGGTTATAAAATACTTGCTATTTAAATGATATGTTTTCAGTGTAATAGAATGTAGGTGTGTTCAAAACAGTTGTTTTTTTTTTAAAGCAGGCTTTCTTTTTCTCTTTGTCTGTGATCTTAATTTTTTTTCTAGCCAAATAGAGAACTCTGCAAAGTATGGTAATTATAGGTCAGTTTATTTTTAAAGGCTATTTCTCTAAAATGATCACTCCTTTGTACAACTACTTGAAGTTTTTTTTTAATCTGTTGCTTTAAATAAAATATTGCTAGCCAACTTAAACTCCCAACCACATAATGAGCACCTGCCCTTGAAGAGAGTTTATAACTGAGTGACCAAAGAGGTCATCTACTCAACTGATCTACAAAGGTAATAAAGGTACATGGGGCTGAGGGTGTGGCTCGCTCATTGGTAGAGCAATTGCCTAGTGTGAGCAGAGCCCTGGATTTGATCCTCAGCAACATACAAACACACAGAGAAAATCTTATAAAAAAAGCTTTCATAATATAAAACTCTGTATCAAGTGCGGGGCATACAGCCTATAGAGCTATTCTGTCAATTTCACACATCCAACTTCTTTCTACGGTTTTAAAGTCTTGGTGCATTTTGCTGTCGTGCTAATGACAGCCAGTGGGGAATACCAAACTGCAGATAATTTCATCAATTATACTTGATTCTGTATTTTTTTTCTTATATTTGAACACAGCTTTATACATTCTCAAGTATTTAAAATCGAAATGACAGAGTCCTGTTGTGAATATATGACCTACAAGAGATTGGTAGTCTAATTTTTATTACCTATCTTGAATCCCTGTTCCCAGAAGGAAGCAAACTGTATTTATTTCAGCTGTGTGAGAGCATGTACATTTCAAATGAAGTAGGAAATTAGCTTGGTGGAACAATTAGAAAGTGACAGAGGTAGGACATAGGTTTGACATGCTGGCTCCTGTCACTGACATTCAGTTAGTTCTTTTCATGTGTCATAGTATTGATACATTATATTCTAACTTAACATGCAACACTTTAGTCTTCATTTTAGATATAATCTAAAAATACATGACTAAAAATACATAAAATATTTTATATTTTCAGAACAATGAAGTGCTATAACCCAAGCAGATTTCCCCACATTCCTAGGAGCAAGGCTTATGTTTTTCTTAAAAACAGGGTGTTTTTTTTTAAAGTTCATTTCTTGAGCAGATTCTAGTTTGAAATAAGAATGAATGAGCGTAAACTAAAAATAAAAAAGTAGAGAAGCAGTGGCATTTCACAAACTGCTTCAAAGAAAACAAAATCTTAGATGATTCATTTTGGGATTGTGCCAGTGTGAAATATTTTCATTTTAATCAGTGTGAATATGCTTATTCTAGAAACCAAGAATCATTTGACGTTGAATCATGGAAATATGTAGATACAGAAAAGAATCAGCCAGTGTGTGGAATTAAAGTATTTTTATTTATCTCATATAATGTGTCACCTAATACTTTTCTCCTACAATTATTGATTCTAATCAATATGTATTCTCTTTTAAATAGGGAAGAAGAATTTGATGAGTATTTTCAGGATTTATTTCTTTGAGACAAGAAAGAGAAAGTACTCTGAAACTTCATGAGGTTTTACCTACAAGTTGCAGCTTGAATGGCTCCTCTTAGGATTACAGGTGCTCAAGAAGTTCATCAGTTTTGTGAGAAACACTTCTTTCATATGTCTTCAATTGCCCATCAACAGCTGTTTCATCTTGTAGTCTTTGCTATGTGATATTACTATGTTAAAGGACATTTAGAAATGGAATGACTGGCATTCGTCTTACTTTAAGAATGGCTAATATCAAGAGTTTTTTCTTTTATTAGACAATTGTTGCTAATTCTACAGATATTTATAAGGCTTCTATATTATATTTGAGGCATTGTGTATAGCATTGCTATAAATGAACTATCTAGGAAGTAATTATGTAATCTATTAAACAGTAAATCAGTATTGAGTTTATTAATATTGAATATGTCAAAAATCCTTGAGTAAAGTTTTTAAGGTATTTGTTTTCATCTTGCTGCTTATAGTGAATAAAAAGGAATCTTGATTTCTGAGGACAAATATTTGAAATGTTCAATAGCAAAATTAATATTAGTTATGGAACATATGTAGTTAACATTCTATGGCTGAGTGCCAGTAGCTCCTTCTTGTAGTCCTAGCTACTTAAGGCTGAGATCTGAGGATCTAGATTTGAAGTCAACCCAGACAGACAAATCCAGACTCTGATCTCCAATTAACTAGCAGAAATCGGGAAGTGGATCTATGGCTCAAGTGATAAAAGTATCAGCCCTGGGTGGAAAAATCTAAAGGAGAGCACCAGGACATGATGAGTTCAAACCCCAGTACTAGCAATAATAATAGTAGTCATCAGAAAATAAAGTCCCTGGGGCTGGGAAGGTGGCTCAGTGGTAGAGTGCTTGCCTTGCATGCCTGAGGCCCTGGGTTCTATTCTTCAGCACCACATAAGCAAAAAGAAAAAAGCCGGAAGTGGCGCTGTGGCTCAAGTGGTAGAGCACTAGCGTTGAGCTGAAGAGCTGAGGGATAGCACCCAGGCCCAGAGTTCAGGCCCCACGACCGGACCCCAAAAAAAAGAAAGTCCCTGAAAAATTAAGGTACCTGGAAAGAATAACCACATTCTCTTTTAGAATAAATTCAAATATTGGTAATTAAGGTAAGGGAGTACTGTATAGGTATCACTTACCCAAGGTGATGGCTTTGTTATTCCTTACTTACACCAATTTCCCATAACCTTTATTCAAAATATCCTTCATTCATGTTTATCAAGTGTCTACCTTATGCCAGCACCATAGTTCTAAGATAGAGCTGTAAGCAAGGCAGACAAGTACCCTTCCTCATGAACCTTATACTCTAAAAGACCTAACTTGAAAAAAAATGATCTATGTCTTAGCTGCTTAAAACTTGTCCTTATGTTCTGTATAGTAAGACATGCTTGGGGTGCATAGATCTTCAATTTATTACAATGTAGATATTTTTACAAAAATCCCTATGCCAAATATATGGTGCTTGCTATTGGTCCTGATTTCTAACTTCATCTAAGATTATAAATAAATAAACCTTAAATTTCTGTGATACCAGACAGATAAATACCATGTAATGGAAATAGTTGGTTGTCCTTAGTTTTTCCTAACAACTTAATATTTAGAAGGCTTTATAGAGAGTACTATTAACCATTGAGAAAAGTCATCTTTTTAAAAAATTTTTTTATTGTAAAAATACTGTACAGAGAGGTTACAGTTACATGAGTGTAATGAGTGCATTTCCTATCAAGCATTGTTACCTCCTTTGTTTTTCCCCTCCCCTCCCTTCCCTCCCACCTCCACAACTACACTCCCTCCCTCCCCCCACTCTCCACTTAAATTGTAAAGTTCGTTTTTCAACATAGTGTCCTGTACATCTCATTGTTACAATGGGTCAACCTGTATCCCTATTTAAGCATTTTGTTTGTTCTAGACTCCTTAAAGGAGTTAAAGCAAATCACATGCTTCTTTTCTTTTTGTAAGGGGAATTAAGATAGAGTTGTCTTATACCACATAGGCTGGCCTTGAAATCATGTAATTATAGGCACATGTGATCATACCCAGTTTAGATCACATGTTTCTTAATGCTGTTACTCACTGCCTTCACTTGTACTAGGATAATCCAGGTATCTTGTAAGTTGATAATTCTTTCAATAAGAAGTATAATTTTGAATGTTAAAAATGTTACTAATTACATATAACAATATAGTTTATTTTAGATGTTGACATGAAGGAGGCATAGGACAAAGGAACAGTTTTTATTAACTGCCAGAAATGGTGTCATCTTAATGCCTTTATCAAGGGTAAAAAAATAAGTATAGGAAAGAGATGATAAGTGTTTCAAGTAGTACAATGCTTGACATCTTTTTTTTTTCTACTTTCTGCACTATATTTTCTCTTTGTGCACTGTATGTATTCTTAGCTAGGACATACTAATGAGAAGTTTTTAGTTTAGGAAGTGTTTGAAGTACAAATCATAGTTGTGAATGCTATGGGCTGAATCCCCACATACACAGCTGCCATTCATATGTTGAAGTTCTATCCCCAGTACAACATTGAAGATAGAGCCATTAATGAAGTGATTAAGATTAAAATGAGGGGTCTCTAATCCAATAGAATCAATGTGTCCTTATAAGAAGATTGAAACTGGGACATGGGCAGACACAGTTGGATAACCACATGGCCTTCCACACACACACACACACACACACACACACAAATCAGGGACATGGATAGACATAGTTGGATGACCACAGGGCCTTCCTTACACACACACACACCCCAAGTCAGGGACATGGACAGACATAGTTGGATGACCACATGGCCTTCCTTACACACACACACACACACACACAAGTCAGGTACATGGACAGACACAGTTGGATGACCACAGTTGGCTGACCATATGGCCTTCCCTTACAAACACACACACCCAAGTCAGGGACATGGACAGACACAGTTGGCCATATGGCCTACACACAAACACACACACACACACACACACACACGTCAGGAGCCTCACCAAAACACACACACACACACACGTCCCTTGCTTCAGAGCTTTTGGGTCCAGCCTTCAATGACAATCTTAACAAATAAATACAAGTGATACATTTTAACAAACTTTTTGTGACTAGTTTCAGGATTGCATAGATTTTAAGTTAAAATAAATTGGCACCAAAAATGCACCCATTCTGTCTAACTTCACTTTTGTTGATCTTTATTTTATCCTCGGGTCTTGTATACTCTCTTGAAAGTCAAAGAGAGATTTTCCTGAAGATGCTTTTGCTCTTTTATTTGATGGGTTACTGTATGAAATGTACTGAAGTTCTTTGGAATGTTTAATGTTTTCCTTGGGAACTAAGATGGTATTTGAAATATAGGCCATTTGAATTGCGTCACAACATTAAGCATGTTTTAGACTTCTTGTCATCACTACCACGTCCCAAATCTTTAGCAGCTAGTAAAAAACAGAAGAAGAAGAAAAAAACTATCATTAGGAACCATTTTAAATCATCATGTTCTTATTTTAATACTTTCATGATAGTTGGTGTCAACTCTATAGCCTAATTAGTAGTGTTAACCTATACCAAGTACTAAGGCAAAATTTTATCCACAGTAGGTTTACTTAAAAATAGAATCTGATAAATAATTTGCTGATTAACATCTCAGTTTCTCAGTGACGCTACACATCTGAGAGTGTTAGCTAAATGAACAAGATTTGATGTCAGGAGATGCAAAATAGTTGAGAAGAAGTTCAAATTCAGAAGTAAATTTTTATACATATGAAATATAGAAGACCTAAGTCCAAAATACTAAATAATAAAATATCAAGGGCCAGTTGAAGGATCTGATTCTCTCTTTAACATGAATTGGGACAAATGGAAAATATGGAAGGACTAAAAATAGCCTTGCTTCTCACATGCTCAGTGAAAATCACTTCTGTCTTTGAAGTGTACTCAGGCCTTAGTAGTAGACTGAAGTGCAGCCACGCCTCAGGCTGTGTACTCTGGCTGTGGCCTGTGCTACTGGCCATATCTGCTGCTAGGGCCTGCTGGCTCTCTTGGGTCTGGTTTTACACTTATTTTTAAATTCTTGTTACAGTGAGATTATTTTCATTTCAACTTTTTTTTTGCATATTCCTATTTTCCCCTCCTTGTTCTCCAGTCTTGCTCCTCTGTGTGTGAGCCAGAGCTTATGTTTTGACACTGGCATGGGTGTCCTTCAGAGCTTCCCCCCAGGCCTTCTCTAAGGACATATGAGGGCTGTCCAACATATGGCCTTGATTAGAACAGACCCAGTGAATAAGTAAGTGGATGTGTAGAGCAGTGAAAAAGTCCTGTTTTTATTCTGCTGAAAGATATCTCTAACTTCATTAAGGAAGATACTATTACTCTCTGAATTGATTAAAATGCCACCAAACACAATAGAACCATCAAAATGGGATGAATCTTTTTTTTTCAAGGCCTTTCTACACAGAGATGTCTTTGTCTATAAGAATTCCTTAGAAAACCCTTACAGTGCTAAACTTAAAAATAAAAGCTGTTGGATATCTATAAAACCTTATTAATCTATGTACCTATATCTATCTATCTATCTATCTCAGAGTTTTAAAAATTTTGCCTAGAATTTTACAGTTATGTGTAGTATCAGCCCAAAGCTGTATTATTACCTGTGGTCTTACAGTTTCTATGGCTTTCATATTATTCCTAAAACCCAGTATTCTGCAGAGATGCCTTAGATGCCCCTCCTAGAAGGATAAAGATGACTAACTCCTCTGCCTCAGTGGGACTATATTTGGAATTATACATAAGATCGTTGCTGAGAGAAACACAACCCAGAAAACACACCAAATGGTTTGTAAAGTTGGCTTCCTGTTATGCTTTCCTCAAGTGACCTATACAGCTCAGCCTGACTTCCTGGTACTTTACAGGTAGCTAAAGCAGATTGTATCTAACCTTTTCCAACCATGTTTCCTTCTTCTTCCTTTTTCCCCTCCTCTTCAAGTACCT